TGCTTTCTCTCCTCGCAATTCAAACGGAATAGTCCAATATTTATGAGATATTAGCCGGGTGTAACGCACGTGCAAGCTAAGGAACAAGCAGAATTATATGATGATGATGATTATAAAGAATAACTAAACCAGTCGTGTGGGTGCATTAATTCTACCAGTCAGAATACTGAGGAGGGTTCTGGTACATCGAGATGTGTGATTTGCAATATCATTTATTACTTCTCATTAATATGAAACAATGACAACTGAGAAATTCAGGAATAATCCAAATGTCTACGAGAAAAATAGCAAGATTACTATAGAACTGAAGATACTTGATGTCGCTTATGTTTCAGTGTAGGTAGACAGCATCAATTCTCAACTAGGTATCTATGCTTTACTGTCTTAGCGGCATAGCAACAATTAATGGGTCATTTAATACCGATTGTTACTTTTCTTGGGAGCATTATTAATTTATTTTACAAAAATACATTGCTGGTAATTTTGTCTATATTTTTTACCATATAAATTGTATTTTTACTATAAAAATATTTATTCTTTCATAATGTTTAGACCCCAGTTTGTGGGTTAACTATTTACCCATAGATAGGACCCTAACAAGTGCTACCACCCCAGGTCACTTTGTAACTGGTAACAACGGCAATTAAGAAGTGTTTCCACGCTCCTCAAAACCAGCCTTGCTGCCGGATGTAGTTTATCATCATACTCAGGATAGCGTCTTAAGTGTAAGTATGATCCATTCGATATCATCAAATTGGGAGGTGGTCTCAAAAGTGACGTACAATCGGCTGTTAACTGGGGCAAGTAACGGCTTGTTAATTTTTGTCCCTCTCATCAGCATGACTAATCCTAACCTCCGTGAGATGCGCCATTTCGGTCTAACGCTTTCTTCTGACATGAAGTGGAAAGATTATATTGAATCAATTGCTAAAATTCAATTCTTACCTTGCGAACAATCAATTCTTACCTTGCGAACAATCAATTCTAATTTTGCGAACATTTAATTCTCATTCTGCGAACATGCAATTTTCACCTTGCGAACATTCAATTCTCATCTTGCGAACATTCAATTCTCATTTTGCGAACATTTATTTTTCACCTTGCGAACATTTAATTCTCATCTTGAAAACATTCTATTCCCCCCTTGCAAACGTTCTTGCTATATTGTTCCATTTATTCATTACTCTTATTAATATAATATACATAGGAATTTCTGCGTTAATTAGTTCAACATTTCTAGGATCATTTTCTATTATTATTATTATTAATAATAATAATAATAATAATAATAATAATAATAATGCTTTCTTAGCCACTTTTCGGATTTTTTATTTTTGTACAGTCCATTTGATATATTTCGTTTTATTGTCGATAAAGCGACTGGTTCTTCATTCTTTACTCTTTAATTACTAAAACTTTTATTTGACGGTTTCTTTTAGATATATTTTATTCGGGTTGATGGCGTCTTATATGTTTGCCATTACGATTTCAAAACATTATTTTTTTTTCTTTTTGCTGGATTTCGTTTCGAGTTAGTTCGATTTTCACTTTCTTTTCTTTTTTTTTTTTTTTTTTGTTTTTATTCTTTTCACCGTCTTCGTTTATTCTATTCTGAAGAATTCTCATCACTTCCAGACAATGAATTCATATTTCGTGAAGAACACCTCCAGAAATACATGAGGAGTTTTTGATGAAAGGATTTCTTGTAAAGAGGACAGCGTTCTGGAAAAGGACCAAAGATGAGACGAAGAATCAAGGGGCGAAATGAAGAAAGAGGAAAAAAATTAAGAATATGAGCAAAAACAAAAAATATGAATCGGAAGACAAAAAATACGGAAAAACACATTCGGCCATGACAAAATAAGGTGTGAATGAAAACAGTGGAAGAAAGAAACTGATCAATAGTGTAAATATAATAGATGAAAAGTAATTAAGAAAAGAGAAGTGTAAAGAAATAGAGACATAGAAGGGGGAGGAGAAAGAAAGAGAGAGAGTTGAAACAAAGAAAGAAAGAAAGAAGGTGAGGAGGTAAATACAAAGAAAGAAAGAGTCATGTTAAAAGAGAGAAAGCAAGGATAAAAAAAAAGATAGCGAGGTTAAAAAATAAGTAGGAAAAGAACAACAGGAAAGAAGAAAAAAGGGAATTAAGCAGAGAAAGAAGGAATAAACACAAGAAAAAAAGAAAGAGAGAGAGAGAAAGAGAACAGAATCAAAAAAAGAAAGAGAAAGAGAGAAATAAATTAAGAAAAAAAGAGAGAAAAGGAAAATCAATGTGTGGAGGTAGAAGCAAACCTAGAAAAGGTCAAGGACAAAGAAAAAAAAGAAAGGAGAATAAAAGAAAAGGCGTAGAATCAAAGAAAGAAAGAAAGAAAGAAAGAAAGAAAGAAAGAAAGAAAGAAAGAAAGAAAGAATGAAATAGAGAGAGAAAGAAATAAAAAAGAGAGAGAGAGAGTAGAATCAAAGAAATAAAGTAATGAGGTAGAAACAAAAACTGAAAATGTCAAGAAAAAAGAGAAAAAGAAAAGAGAATAAAAGAAAAGCCGTAGAAAGAAAGAAAGGAAGAAAGAAAGAAAGAAAAAAAGAAAGAAAGAAAGAAAGAAAGAAAGAAAGAAAGAAAGAAAGAGAGTGCGAGAGTAGGTTCAAAGAAAGGAATTGAGAAGAAAAAGAAATGTCTGGGAAAAAGAGAAAAAGAAAGACGAATAAGAGAAAAGACGTAGAATAAAAAAAAAAAAAAAGAAAGACATAGAGAGTGAAAGAAAGAAAAGAGAAAGAAAGAGAATACGAAAAAGTGAGCAGGTAAAAAAACACAGAAAAGGTTTAAGAAAAAGAGAGAAAAATAAAATAAAATAAAAGATAGAGCGAGGGTAGAAAACAAACGGGAAAAGAAGAAGACAAATGAGAAGATAAAGGAGAAATACACAGAAAGAAAATAGAGAAAGAGAGAGAAAGAGAGGGTGAGAGAGAAACTGAGGTAGTGAGGAAGAATGAGGGAGGGATCAGAAAAATAATCAGGGGAAATATCAACTGACTCGAAGATAAAAGAAAGTGATAAATATAAACAGAGACGAAGAGAGAGAGAGAGAGAGATGGGGAGATAAAGACGTAGGGAGTGGGTGTGAGAGGCGAATAAGAAAAGAACGGGTAGAAAAATAACAAGTGACAATGTCAGATATATCCATATAGACAGAACAGGCTGCAAGCCAGAGCTTGATAACCTCGGGGACCTCGATCTGTTATTACAAAAATTAAAAGAATTAAGTATAAATTCTATTTGTTTATATTTGTTGAGATGAGGTATTTACACTGTTTACATTGTTCGAACTGTTGTCCTCATCTTCGTTGCCATATTCACCATAACGTATTTATAAGTCCACCATTCTTCCAAGCTAGATTATTAATATTTAACATCCCCCACGAAGTTATATGTGGCACAAGGCCGGTTTATTGTGGGTACTCCGAGCCCGTAGGCTCGGCCAAAAATATTCCCTTTGAACCCACCTAAGCGGGTTCAGGGCCTGTCTACCTCCTCGGACGAAACTTTGCCCCGATGTAAAGCTTCGTCCGGGTTTCTCTCTGCCGAGGCAGAGAGTTCCACAGCAATGGACAATCTAGATCATTGCTGCCCGGTGATCTTGCTGTTTATCTAGAGCTCCTTGATAAATTCCAAAGAAAAATCAGTATTATTAATTGTCCTGATCTGGGGTCTCGGCTTCTCAGACAATCTCTTCGCTATGGTACCTAGAGTTTTTGAATTTAAGCGTAGCAGTAAACTTATGTCGAGATTTCATCAACTGACAGTTGAGCTGGCCAGATGTGACTACGTTCTATGCTAACAATTTCTTTTCTAGCACTTCACGCCTGTGGATCTCCCTTCCAACCAAGTTTAATCTTCAAACATTTAAATGCAATGTCAATCGCTATCTACTGTCCTCATGATTACTCTTCTTTTGTTTTCTAATTCTTCTACAAACATTAACACTTTGCGTTTTGGTGGATTTAATAAACCAAATTTTCATTAACGAGAAAATAAAACAGAAGTTCGTTTTTTTGTGCTGTGTCTATAAAATATATATCTAAAATAATTAATACTATAAGAACACAACAGAGAACACTTAAAAAAAAAACTTAAAGGCAATACTTTGTCAGTCGTTATTAACAATTCATATACATACATGCATACATATATATATATATGTGTGTTCGCGCGTATGCGTTCTATCAGCAACATTGAACACTTTTCCTCGATAAATATATCAATAAAGTAATGTAATAAAAATGTTGCTTTTTTTAAAAAAAAATTAAGGCAATTCACCGCAATTTTGGCAGGAGTCCTACTAGCACGCAAGGGGGTACCGAGGATTGAGAACAAAAGAAAAGAGGCGGTTAAATAATCAAGGTCTGGTAACACCTCCTCCCCCAATACTAAGTATGATTGAGAGAGATATTAAAGTAAACCCTTCCTAAACTCTAGCATGTCTCTCTAACCACTCATTATTACACTCTCTGTTAAATTACAAAAACTTACACAACCCATCAATTTTCATTTCATTTTTCGTTTCATTTTGTGGAAGTGCTATCTGATGATCCGGCGTCCTTTAAAAGGGCTCTGGTGAAATAAATTATTATAATGGAACCTTAAAGTGGTCTGTTTTTCTTTAATATATATATATATATATATATATATATATATATATATATATATATATATAAACTGTTATTAATACAGTTAAGGTAAGAGCGCGATTTAAGAAAAGAAAAAATGAAAAAAGATCGTGTTTTTTTTAATATTTCCGTTTCTTATTCCCGTTTTGCACTTAAGTTTTTTGAAAATATTCGAAGAGTTACGCCAATCATTTTGTTTGTTATTATTATTATTATTATTATTACAATTAAAGTATACTGTCCTCATATATATATATATATATATATATATATATATATATATATATATATATATATATATATATATATATATATATATATATATATATATATATATATATATATATATATATATATATATGAAACAAATGCCCATTTTGAAAATCGAACTGCGTGAAACACGTTTAATGCGTTAATATTCGAGAAATTTTATTTTTATGTGCTTTAAAGAATATTTATACATACTGCCCATTAATATACAAATATCCAAGCCATATATTTATGTGGGTGTGTGCGAGTTTGTCTATGTGTATGCACGCGCTCACGCGCATGTGTGTGTAAGATTGGAAATATATAGTAATTCTTTCATTTTTCAATTCTTTTTAATTTTTTCAGTTTAGATAAAAATAAAATCATTACCTTGACAGTCGCTTTTAATGAAATTTGTATAAAAGAGTAATTGCTGCGTAAACACAGAATTATATATATATATATATATATATATATATATATATATATATATAGGCCAGAATTTTACAAACGCCTGAGGAGACGCATCGTTATGTGTTGACACGACTGCAATTGCGTAGCGATTCTTACATGTTTTTGTTGTAATATCTTAAAATAAATAATATTGCTCTACAATGTATTGATTCCTCTTTTAAATGAAATATTACAAACGTTGGTAGTGTACTCTATTCGTTCTCATCGTACCTATATATATATATATATATATATATATATATATATATATATATATATATATATATATATAATGTAAATTTTGAAAAACTATCGCTCATTTAACTATACACAATCCGGCAAGATTTGTCTGGAATTTATAACTATAAATTATATATTATAGTTTTTATAACTATGAAGGAAGTGGATAGAAACATTATATCGCATAAATCCGATATGAGCAAACTATTTTCAAATTAATAGTAAGCATTTTACCATCTTTTTGATTCTCAATGTTTCTGTGCCAAATTCAAGCATCGACTGATGGAAAATGAGGCAAAAATCTCCAACAGATTTGGGGAAAATCGAAAAAAAAAAAAAGAATTATCAGAGCAATACATGATCATCGGAAAAAAGATTCCAATAGAAGGGAAAACGAAATGAACCGGAAAATAAAGAAAATAGAGAAGAAGGGGAAAAAAGAAAGAAAGAAAATAGGGAAGAAGGAGAAAAAAGAAAGAAAGAAAATAGGGAAGAAGGGGAAATAGAAAGAAAGAAAATAGGGAAGAAGGGGAAAAAGAAAGAAAGAAAATAAGGAAGAAGGGGAAAAAAGAAAGAAAGAAAATAGGGAAGAAGGAGAAAAAAGAAAGAAAGAAAATAGGGAAGAAGGAGAAAAAAGATAGAAAGAAAATAGGGAAGAAGGGGAAAAAGAAAGAAAGAAAATAAGGAAGAAGGGGAAAAAAAGAAGGCAAAAAAGAGAAAAATTAAATGAATCTATGATATGATGAACTTCTAAAAACCCAAAAAAGAAAGAAATAAGAAAAGAAGGAATGAACAGAAACAAGAAAGGAAAACAGTATGAGAAATGACAAGACAACTTAAAGAAAGAAAGAAAGAAAGAAAGAAAGATAAATAAAAAAATTGGATAAGCGACAGCTAAAAAGAAGGAAAATATTCGAATAGGAAAACCAGGTAAAGAGAAAAAGAAAGAAAAAGGGAAAATTAAATGAAAGTTGACAGAAAATTGTATGAAAAAATAACTTAAAACAATAAAAAATAGTAAAGAATAAAAATTAGAAAAAAAAATGAAAACTAAACAGAAAATTATAATAAAGAAAGAAAAAGAAAGAAAGACAAGAAAAATTTTTTAAAAATGAAGAAATGTAAAGAAAAAGTAAAGAAATAAGCTAACAACGCTAAGTGACCAGAAAAGTAAAGAAAGATAGGAAATTGAAAAGAAAGAAAGAAAAAGCAAAGAAATAAGCTAACAACGCTAAGTGACCAGAAAAGTAAAGAAATATAGAAAATTGAAAAGAAAGAAAAAGTAAAGAAAACGTGAACAAGGCTAAATGAACAGAAAAGTAAAGAAAAAAGAAAGAAAAAGAAAGAAAAGTAAAGAAATAAGTCAATAACGCTAAATGAACAGAAAAGTAAAGAAAGAAAATTGTAAAGAAAGAAAGAAAGAAAAAGTAAAAAAAAGAAAAGTGAACAACGTTAAATAAACAGAAAAGTAAAGAAAGAAAAAGAAAGAAAGAAAGAAAGAAAAAGAAAAAGTAAAGAAAACGTGCACAACGCTAAATGAACAGAAAAGAAAAGAAAAAGAAAGAAAGAAAGAAAGAAAGAAAGAACACGTAAAGAAAAAAATGAAAAAAACGATAAATGTATAGAAAAGTAAAGAAGAAAAAGGTCAGGAAAGAAAGATAGAAAAAGAAAAACAACTTCTGAATGAAGACAATACTAGAAACGCCTTAACGCTTGTAGTGGTTGCAGTGTTTTTTTGCAATGGCCTCTTGTCAACAATGCAACAACCTGGCCGTTGATTGTTGTCAGGAGGTTCGTCGATTGAAGTGGTTCGGAAACAAAAGAACGAGGGAAAAAAAAAATGAGAACCAAAGGGAGGTAATTCTTTCTTCTTTTTTTTTTTTAACTCGACAAAAC